TGTGAACATGGACTGGGCCTGAGATCAGTGGACTGCGTGGTTAGCAGTTTTGCCTTCCTAGCCAAAGCCAGGAAAAGAATACCTCTGTGACATAGATCTGCCGCTAGTTTTGGTATGGTCCATGATTCTGCTGGGGACCCTGGTCTGACGGGTGTGCTGGGCCCAGTGGGCATATCTTGGAGGGGCAAGTCGTCTTCTGGAAATGCTTCTTGTGACATCCTGTAAAGAGGAAAACAATGAGTATATCTAAAGATGATATCGCCCTTTGTGTAGAATTGGCTTGCAAATTAGTGCCGTTAGGTGAAAAACTTAGCCAGTACGTGACAGGTGAGGCCCTCTAGTTGCCAAGTGGCAGTGAGAGTCTATATCTATGATTTGGGCCGTGGGGCTCGTGGCCACGGGATATTGTGGCGGGGTGTTGGCCTCTCAGTGACAGTGAGAGAGCGAAATACGTGTGGCCGTGACTTGTGAAATAAACTTATATAACTTGGTGGAGAAGCGAGAAAAGTGCGAGAAAAGGGAGGTGTTTGCGTGTTGAGGGCCTTATGTGGGTCAAAAATACTAGAGACAAGCCCCTATTGAATATAGGTTATGAACGTAACAAAATAAAAAGGCTGAGTGAGGCCTTGTGAGATTAGATATAAGCGTAATGTACGTAATGAAATGCCTGGAATACAATTAGCAGCAATGTTATGCGATGTTCGGTCCGCGCCCTAAACACAAATTGGGGGGGCCCTAAATACTAAAAAGGGGGGGTGACCTAAGGTCCTCCCCCCTTACGCCCACCCCTGAGCTGCGGGTGGGGGCCCTAAATACTAAAAAGGGGGGACCTAATGTCCTCCCCCCTGGCCCCCACCCCTGAGCGGCATTAGCTCCCCCCCCCAATTTGTGTTTAGGTGTGTTTAGGGCCCCCACCCACCGCTCAGGGGTGGGGGCAAGGGGCGAGGACATTAGGCCCCCCCCAATTTGTGTTTAGGGCCCCCACCCGCCGCTCAGGGGTGGGGGCCAGGGGGGAGGACCTTAGGTCCCCCCCCTTTTTAGTATTTAGGGCCCCCACCCGCTGCTCAGGGGTTGGGGCCAGGGGGGAGGACCTTAGGTGTCCCCACTTTTTAGTATTTAGGGCCCCCACCGCGGTTCGTTGGGTTCGCCCGTTCGCGATCTTTTGCGGAAGTTCACGTTCGCGAACTGAAAATTTTATGTTCGCGACATCACTAATTATAAGCAAACTATATAATTAAGGTGAAGGTAACCCTAAACCGAAATATTGAGCCCGTAAATGATTAGCATGCACACCTAAATTGTACTCGTGCAAGAATGGATAGTATTTGATGAACAGACTGAATGTAAAGTGTGAGAATTTGAGCAATCTCATGAAATACCAGCTGAGAAGTACAAGTGTGCGAAAGGACACGAATGAACTTTAAACAACTTAATAGTAATGCTGAATAGACATGAAATTTCAAGGGAAAAGGAGTTTAAACTAAAATAAACCGAAAGTGAGTTTGACAAGCGAACGACATTAACAAGTATGCGAATACAAGTAATACATAAACCATGTTTGTGAGTATGACTTGATCATTTGTTCGAATTAAACCAGCAATTTAAACAAAATTGATGCGAATGGCGTAACCAAACATATGAATAAAACCCGAAATACAGTTTATGTGATTCATGCGAAATAACTTGAGTATCAGGAACAACTGTAAACACGAAATTCCAACTGAACAAGTAAGCAAACCAATTGAGAAAAAGGGAGCCAATCCCCGCGTTTTTAGGCCTGAACGTGGGAACAGCTGAACGGTTGTTCCCGACATGTACATATGTATGCGTGCCTGGTCTCGTGTCCAGAAGAAGGCAAGTTTCTGCAATAGAGCTGAAGATCAGGTACGGTGAGGCTGCGAGGCTGACACTCACTTTTTTGAAAATGGTGGGAGGGTCCGGAGCGGAAGTGCTGGTTACTATGGTGACCAGCTCAAACAGAAATGGCATAGGTGAGTAGGAGACGTGCGCTTAAATAGGGAGAACTCCTCCCACAAATTCAGGCCTATGCCTTCCTACATATATAAAATGTGAAACTGCATTACTGACAACGACACAAGTAGCCATGTAAACATAGAGAAGAACGAGAGAAAATAGAGCTTTCTTAATGTATGTAGAATCATATGGTTTATTTTGTATCGGGCTTTCTGACTTTGAGTAAGCTAGTAAAGGAACACTTTATTGGATTTATTTATGTTTTTACATTATTGAAAATATTCTCCCAAAGACAACGTGTATATTTCTTTTTTTTTTTTAATAATCTTTGTAATGAAAAGAAAACAAACCGCTTACAAAGCTGTAAAACTGCTAACTGCAGCCTTTGCAAGCCTTCCCCTCTTCCAGAGATCTCAAGATTCCCGGGAGCGGCCGCTCGGCCGGTACTGAGAGGACAGATAAGCAGGTTACATGGGATGGATTTTACCCCCCCCCCCCTCTTCCAGAGATCTCAAGATTCCCCGGAGCGGCCGCTCGGCTGGTACTGAGAGGACAGACAAGCAGGTTACATGGGATGGATTTTACCCCCCCTCCCCTTCCAGAGATCTCAAGATTCCCTGGAGGGGCCGCTCAGCCGGTACTGAGAGGACAGACAAGCAGGTTACATGGGATGGATTTTACCCCCCCTTCCAGAGATCTCAAGCTTCCCCCGAGTGGCCTGCTTTGTACCTGTTTAATTCTGTCTACCAGCAGAGATACCGTGGATAATACTACTACCCCGCTACAGTTAAGACATTCAAAAAGGGGCAAAGAAACAGAAAATAAGTTGAGTCTTCACAGATGAAGATGCGCAGAAACATATTGTAAACATACACTTATCTTATAAACTCTGCTATAAATTAATGTAATGGATTACTAAGGTTTTATATGTATATATTTATATTTTTATTTAATAAAATATTGAAAATTACAAACCTTTATTGCTTCCATGACAATCTCTATTTTATATTGTATTCTCAGTTATTTATATAGATATGTGTACAGTTAGACCTGCTAAACCCTATGCTTTGAGTGGGAAATAGGGGAACCAGCTGCGGTTACAGGTGTTCGGGACACTAACTTTATACCCAGCTGTTATTCCATATGTAATGTATGATGAGCAGAACGGATTTATAAGCAGATAGCAACCATATCGCTGTCTAGGTCCATTTATCCACCGCAGCCAATTCAGTTTTACAACCAGAAAACATCCTCAATAATGAAATGAACTAGTCTTAAGAAAATCATTGTGCAGGACTTAAGTTAAAATACTGCATTATGTAGACTGTTAAATAAACATTATTGCACATTATATAAATGAATATAGGAGAACATATTTAAAGGACCACTATAGGCATCCAGACTTCAGCTCAATGAGTAATGCTTTCCTATGGGCAGTTTGAATAAGCGCATGGCTCTTGCCGCGCATGCACATTGCGCACTGATGTCAGCAGGAGGAGGAGAGTTCCCCAGTTTTGAGGGAGCCCAGCGTTAGAGAAAGGTAAGTGGCTGAAGGGGTTTTAACATCTTCATCCCAGCAGGAGGGGGCCTGAGGGTGGGGGGGACCTAAGGACTACATAGTGCCAGGAAAAAGTTTGTTTTCCTGTCACTATAGTGATCCTTTAACAGCATGGGTACCATAACAACCACAGTATCTGTGGTTGCTATGCTTGGGAGAGCAGGGCTGATCTTATCAATAAATTTGCTGGCAGAAAGATTTGACTAACAGATGGGAGAAACACCTATTTTTAAAATGAGATCTTCCCAATCTATATCAGATTGCTGAAATTCTTCAGCACAATGTATCGATAACATTTAATGCGAACATTTAGAAAATTGGGCAGACTAGATGGGCCGGATGGTTCTTATCTGCCGTCACAGTCTATGTTTCTATGTCTAGGAGGCCAAGTTGTAAAGTAACCGGAGAGCAGTGTGGTGGGAAGTGCTTTGTATAAATGGGAATCATTGCTTGTAGAGGATCTGGTGTTTGAGATGTAGATGGACTAAATAGGAATATGGTTCACAGGCTGTTAATAAAATCTTACAATACTATGAGTGTGTGGGGGACCCCCACAATGGGCCAATTCTCAAATCTGTGCTCATCATAGACAATGATCAGCGCAGGGACCAGGAGACACGTGGTGAGGATCTGAACTCATTAAGTTGAAAAAAATTACATTTTTTATATATCCACAGCAATGTATTAAAGCCCATATCTCCCACACTTTGTTTCCTGAATTCTCTCCCAGATCTCAAAGGAAATATAAGACACAAAAGGGAGAGCAAGGGTGTAATATGAAGAAATGCTAATACAGGTCAGAATATATTGTAAAGCTCACCTTGTTAAGAGCCCCATATTTTTATTTATATAGCGCCATCAAACTCCGTACCACTGTACAATGGATCCCTGAGGTTGAAAAAAACGTGGTATCAAGTTCTGGGATGACACTTCCCACCTGGAATCTATGTAGATGGACCACAGGAGTGCTAATTAGTCAATTTGATAAAAAATAAACACTCCCTGCCAATAGTCCAAAACAGTTCCTCTGTAAAAGCTTCCTCAATCGGCTTTATTCTTTCTCCGGTGTCCATCTTTATTTAAACATGCGCACCCAGCTTCCTTACTGGGTCACATGGAAGGATTTGTCCAATAAGCGTTTCCTAGGGTTCGGCTTCCGGATGTGACATGTCATTTACCTTCCCCTTCCTGAGTGGAGTGGTATATTTATTCTTCAGGGCACCCACAGAACATTTCCTTAATCTTAATAAAGGTTTTTATGGCTGTAGAAACTGTTTTGCTTGTGTTAAAACAGGGAATATGAAAAGCCAAATACAAACTGTTAAACATCCACGAGGAAAATCAGAACTATATATTCAAGAGTCATAACACGCTATTCTTTTTTTCTTAAAAATATTTATTGGTTTAAAAAGTTAATACAATAGACATGTTTAGAAAAGCAATAGTTAATAAAAATTAAAAAAAAAAGCAGAGGAATATTTTTTTTTAAATCATCCAAAAATATTCCAATAAAAGTTTTGTAATATATAATTTACAAAGTTAAAGTTATACAATATATACACAAGGATTTGGTCAAGTAGGAATTACAGGGGTAGCTCATATTTTAGTCTGATATTTCTTCTCCCAAGTGTTCCATTCATGTCTCAAAACATCGTATCGGATGGTGGACGGAAAACCAACTCACATCACTTGTCTTCAAAAACAGAATGCAAAACCTCTAATATGTGGCATATCACGCCCACCGTCCTTAACGGGTTAATAGGAGGCGTAGCACCAGATTTCCAATATGTGGTTATGGTTGTAGTTTCTGAAATTAAATGGAGAACTTTTTTTTTATATTTGGGTAAGTGCTTTGGTAGCTTTTTTCTTTAAAGATACATTTCGGGTGTCAAGTGTTTAATTGAATTAGTAATTGCATTAATGAAGTTATCAATTGAGATCCAATATGAATGTAGTTTAGGACATGTCCACAGTATGTGACACAAGGGCCCACTTGTCCAGACCTCCTCCAGCATACGTTCGAGTTTCATCATTTTATTTTAATTGATCTAGAGTGAGAAATGAGGGAGTTAGAAATAAATGGAAATTAATGCCTTTACATCTCCCTGCTTTGGCTCGCACTGCAAGCACAAACCGACTGCACCAGTAATTCCTTCAGGTCCATGGAATTTTATCTTATCCCATAGAATATTATGAGTGAGTGGGGGACGCACACACTGCGCTAATCTTCCAATCTGAGCTCCTCATAGCCAAGGACCAGTACTGCATCCAGGAGACACGTGACGAGGATCTGATCTCATTAAGCTGAAATGAAAAAATCATATACTAGTTAAATTTTTACACAGCAGTGTATGAAATCTTAGATCTCAAATCATGGCCAGAAACAAACATTACAATTGTGGCCACCTAAAATATTCTAAATTACTTGAAAATAGACAACGTCCTTCAAATGGCGGTATGTACAGTAAGAGTGACCAGCAGAGTTTATGATGGTCGCTATTGACAAAGATATAATGTACTACTCCAGATTACAGATACTTTACGTGGATCCAATCTGGAGGGTGAATTAATTAACTAGAGTGCTGGCCTCGGCAATGCCACCAGAACCCTGCAAACCAGGTCTGCGTTGCGCTGTTTTGTATTATTAAAATGGACAGAATAAATAAATATGCAATTTGTTGCTAGAATTTAACTGGGGGGGTTCGCAAAGATTGAGTCTTTAAGAAGACACAGACATGGGAAAAAGAATGTACACCCACTTTGAATTCTTTGGTTTATGTATCAGGACATAATCTGTTCCTTAGCAGGGCTCGATATTAGGTAACTACAACACATGACATATTACACCGTGTCATGCTTTATTTAACATAATTAAAGCCAAAATAGAGAAGTACCCCATTTCTACTTCCATAGGAATAAGGGGCTAGGTAGCAGACCCGTGCTGCTAATCAAATTCCCATGATTAACCAGGTGTGTGTTAACACAATGCCAAGGAGGAAAGACTTCTGCAATTGTTGCTGCCCATTAAACTGGGAAGGGTTATAAGCCAAGCCAAGCCGCGCTGCCATGTTATATTTAAAGTTGCATCTGAACAAATCACAAGACTTCGTGAACAATATCCTTCGGACAGACAAGACCAAAGTGGAGATGTTTGGGCTTGTTTTGCAGGGCCTAGCAGTCTCTCTCTCATATTAATGAATCCCATCTATATACCACAGTATTCTAGAGAAGTGGTTCCCAACCTTTTTCACTTAAGTACCACTTGGCAGTCAGGTCTATAAATTGTACACCTCATATTAGCGAAATGTTTATAGTTAACATAGTTGCTGTTATTTCAAATATATAAAAAAAAATTCTCTGCCCCAGGCTCTCCCCACACATACACACACAGATACAAACACCGACACACATACAGATAGAGACTCAGAGATACAAACACCGACACACATGCAGAAACTGCATCTGTGCATTAACGTGTGTCAGTATGTGTATCAGAGTCTGTGCATCTGCATGTGTCAGTATGTATTTTTTATCTGTATGTTAGTGATTGCACCTGTGTCTATGTATCTGTATATTTGCCAGCGTGTGTATCTATATATGTCAGTGTTTGTAGCTATGTAACTGCATGTGTGTCTGTGCATCTGCATGTGATCAGTATGTGTATCAAACACTTTCACATACAGATGTGCAGACAGTTACAAGCACAGCTACAAATGCAGATACAGACACAAAGATGCAAACACTGGCCCAAAGTGCATTGGCCATCCGATCGACTTGTGGTTCCCAGCCTGTGTGGTGAAGCTGCACTGGCAGGGCCGCCATTACTGATTTTTTGCATACCCCAATGGGCACTGAATTGTACCCCTGGGGGTACACGTACCACGGGTTGGAAACCCCTGTTGTAGAGTCAAATGTGAGGCCATCAATCCAACAGCTAAAGCAAGGCCTAAACTGGGTCATGCAACAGGGCAATGAACCAAAGCATACCAGCAACAACAGAATGGCTGAAAAACAAGAAGAACAATGTGTTGCAATGGCCCAGTCAAAGTCCAGACCACAATCCGATTGAAATGCCGTTATGGAAATTTAAGAGAGCTGTGCATATACAATGCCAGTAAACCCCAATGAACTGAAGCAACGTTGGGGAAAAAAAGGAAAAAAAAATTTGCCAAAATTATAATTTGGGACAAAAATCATACAGAAAACAATTATTTCAAGTAATTGCTGCTAAAGGTGGTTCTACAAGGTATTGCATAATAAGGTGTACTTAGTTTCATGGCTTCATTTTTGTTAAATGAATCACGAATGGTGTAATACATGTTTTGTTCATCTGAGATTGTATTTACCTAATTTTAAGACTTGATAAGGGACAGATTATGTCCGAATTTGTAAAACCATATAATTCAATGAGGACTTCTTCACACCCCCCTCCCCCGATGATAAATATATAATAGCATTTAATGACATCCAGGATCTGATTACAAAAATCTAGAAATGTTCATTTTACACAAAGAATTAACATACAAACCTACCATTGGACAGTCTTTCACAGATGAAACAGCGAGTAGTTGTACAATGTAGCATACCGAGACCACTGTCAGAGTTAAAGGATGCACAGTTTATGTCTGGATCATTTCCTAAACTAAAATAGGGGAAAAAAAATAAATAAATAAATAGTGTAATTAAACAAGTCTGGATACTTTGTTACTTATTAATATACGTATTTTGCTATACATCTGGCATTTATAAGAGTGAACTGCCACAAAAGAAATATAAACCAAAACGCTTCATTCAAGCTTTGTTATGTAATTTAGGAGGTACCGATAGGATATGCAACAAATATAGCACCTTTAAAATCATGTGATATTGTGAATCTTTTGGATACAGTCCCAGTACAAAAAGTTAATGATTGACCCTTCTGTATTGCTTATAAACGGGATATTTGATCCACAGTCTGTCTATAAAGAATGCAGGTTCCATTAACAGGTTTTTGTACAAGGAATTCACATAGGAGAAAACAAACAAACAACTTACGTCACGTTAGCTGGGGAACCATCTATCCAGTTCCAAACTCCACTGAGTTGATTCTTGGACAGTCCAATCCAGTAATCTTCATACGCATTTAACATTTCCTCAGTAGCCTGTAACAATATCCAACACACAATGGTTACTTAGTGATACTGATGCCAGTAGAAATCTTGAGACCCCTTACAAAACCTGTCCCCCACAGAGCAGTGTGAATGCAGGGGGTTATTTGAGAAAACAGTCGGTGTGTGCATGGCTGCAGGGTTCCACATTCTCTATCTATGCTCACAGTGCTCTTGCACCATAATGAAATGAATAAAACACGCACCTTTATACTCTTGGTGTCCAGTTTGATAAGTGAAGCTTTATGGGCTTTACAGTAATCCCAGCTGTCATTCCAGGTCATCGTTTCATTTCCTTTAGAGACGTACAGGCAACGATCTTCTACCAATCGCCAGTCTTCTGGGTATTCTACTCCAGTACCTACAGTACGAAATAGAACATTATTTCATCAAATCCTCATCCTCACCGAACCCCTTAAGGACACAACTTCCGGAATAAAAGGGAATTATGATGGAATATTTCCGTCATGTGTCCTTAAGGGGTTAAAATGGCCACATCCCGGCCTATACCAACCCCAGAGGCCACCAGAAGTGGCCTTATCGTGTAGAAGAACTAGAAAATGTTTATTACTTGATATAAACCAACACATTTAGCTACATCTCGCTACCCTGGAAAATCTTGTTTATTGTTCATTATGCTTTAAAATGTGTGTTGTTGCAGTATATTTTACATGCTGCACAACTGACTATACGGTTTATGCCATGTATTATGCTTTTTTTTTTTTTTGCCTATTTTGGCACAAACGCAAAAACAGAATAAAAACTAAATAAATAAAATAAAGCCGGCGTTAACACATTCACTATGAAAATCGTTTAGTACAGTTTATAAATTCAGAATTGAATGCACCCCAACCCCCCCAACCATGTAAGTAGTCAGATGCTTTTTTTAGAATGGTTTGACTTTTTACCTAACTCATCACCTAATGACTGTGTCTTAACCCTGCAATGTAAACATTGCTTCTGTAAAATTGCAGTTGCGGGATTAAGGGAACAGGGACATTGTATCAAGACCACTTTCAATGATATGTGGTAGTGCCCCTTTAACTTAACTTTTTTGTATTTTGAAGGTGATTTAGTTAAATTAAAAAGTAGTTTTTCTTTTTATCCCTCTAGAATACATGAACACATTATTATTATGTTATTATTTATATAGCGCCATCAAATTCCGCAGCGCTTTACAATGGGTGGACGAACAGACATGTAGTTGTAACCAGACAAGTTGGACACACAGGAACAGAGGGATTGAGGGAACAGAGGGATTGAGGGCCCAGCTCAATGAGCTTACATGCTAGAGGGAGTGGGGTAAAATGACACAAAAAGGTAAGGATAGTATTAGACTAGTGACAGTTGCAGAATAGGAGTAGTCGGGAGCTATTAACAGTTTAATTGATACACTTTTATGAAGAAGTGGGTTTTTAACGACTTTTTGAAGGAGTGGAGACTGGGTGAGCATCTAATGGGAGGTGGGAAGCGAGTTCCACAGGAACGGGTCAGCCCTCGAGAAATCTTGAAGGCGAGCATCAGAGGTGGGAGTACGGACAGAAGATAGACGTAAGTCTTCAGCAGATTGTAAGGGCCTAAATGGGACATACTTGTGTATAAGGGAGGATAGATAGGTGGGAGCAGCATTATGTAGAGATTTGAAAGCAAGAACCAGAATTTTAAGGAAGACAATGTAGGGACTGACAGAAGGGTGAGGCGTAGGAGATGTGGGCGGACAATAAAAATGCAAAATGGAACTTACATTGTACTTTTGGCATCACCAAAAAAACTATTATAACCACTGCTATCACCACAACTACTGCGATCACCACAAGTACTGCGATCACCAGTACTGGTCGTTTGTTGTAGAGTTTTTTAAAACAATCCTGTGAACAAATATAGATGTGTAAATCCAACATTACTGAAAATTCAGCATACATAATATGCCAAAACTGGTCACTTTCTAGACATGTCATATT